TACCTCTGCGTACCCGGTTTGCGCAGACAGGATAGGCCTACGTCATCAGCGTGTTCACGCACGCAGTGCAGACAGAGTGAGAATGGCAGACAAACATCAACAACCTGATCTTCCTTCCTGGTATTGTAGTACTTTTAATGTTTTCTCACTGGTGAATGACACATGATGTAGCCCAGTGGTTCCCAATTCCAGTCCTCGTGCCAAAATGCATATTTTGCATGTCTCGCTAACACACCCGATTCCGATAACCAGCTCGTTGAGCTACGTGCATGAACTGTTCGATCGATATGATCCCTACACAGTGTTCATTGCTCCCTACTCCCCTCTCGTATTCTTCTGGTCTGTGAGCGTATATGCGTTCAGGGGGCGTGGCTTTGGACGGCGATTGCAGGGAGGGTGGGACTTTCGCTTTCAGTGCTATTAGGCTAAAGTTAGCATTTTCCAAGATCTCCTACTGCACCTTTAAATAATGGAGCCTAATGTAATGTGTGGTTGAACAATAAAGAATCAAAACATTTTCAAACAATATCAAGAGCATGTTGTAGTCCAGATTCAATTAAAGTGTAAAAAAGTTTGAACATAAATTGCCTATTAAGCCTAAGTATTTAAGTATTTGGTGCTGTGATGAACAGCATTACTAATACAAATATCAGAATGGCTGTTAAATCTTATTCAGAAACTGAAAGTAGCAGCTGCTTTGTTTACGGGGTTACCGGGGTAACGGCTGCATTTCTGCTGTTCCAACAGCGCAATCTGCTGTCAGAGAGTGAATGTGCATTTTCATCAGCACGTCTCCTTCACTCGTTCCGCCATGCACTTCTCATCCAAGTTGGGCTTATTTACATGAGAGTGCACATGCATCTTTGACGCAGCATACAGCGGCATTGTACATTTTAACCAGTTGATGGGAAAAGTAGGCTATTCTTAAAATGCATTCACAAATCTGAATAATTTGTAATAAATAATTATTTACGGCATTTTGAAGTACCCACGATAAGTATATAGTGCATGGTCATAATCGTGATATCGCATTACTGAATACCGGCACAAGTCTATTATGCATCATTTGGTGGACTTTTGACAGCTCCAGAGATCATGTTACAGGGGTCATATGATGCTGCTAAAAAGAACATTATTTTGTGTATTTGGTGTAATGAAATGTGTTTATGCGGTTTAAGGTTCAAAAAACACATTATTTTCCACATACTGTACATTATTGTTTCTCCTCTATGCCCCGCCTTTCTGAAATGCGTCAATTTTTACAAAGCTCATCGGTCTAGGCATGACGAAGCGGATATCGTCCTCTTTTGGTAGGCCAAACGAAGTAGTTTCGCTTTCACAACGAAGCATACAGTGCTTTCACGACATGGCGGCGGCAACTTTAAAACTACAGATAGTGGCAAAATTAAAAGTGCATTATGGGTGTTGAAGTTTTTGGTGAAAGCCCTTTTTTCTGTTTTCTCTAATCATGAAGCATGGATTTCAAACTTTTTTTGTGTGTTTCTACTGCACAGACAGCCAAGTTTTATTAAAAGCCCATCTTGTCAGGCAGAGACACATGACCTGGAGAGAAGAATGACGAGAGAGTGCTAATCAATTCCAGCTGCATCCATGCTACGATTTAAGTGCAAACAAGAAACTGAACTCTTAAAGAGTGTTTATCAGAGTAAGTTACGCCCTCTGTTCCGTTTACCCCCCTCTCTCCCTCATAATGAGGGCACAAATTGGGTCCACTCTCTCATTGGCATTTACACTGGCACAGCTATCTGATGAAGGGCTCTTTATGTGCTTTGATCCTGTTTGGTTTCCTTCTAATGATCAGTTGACTCCCCCTCAGTGAGCTGCGCTCAAGCCCGCATGTTCTCTGTCACTCAGTCTAATGTGTTAGCATGCGCTGGTTACCCACAGCAAACGGCGTTCTAGGATCTAGAAATGTCTGTGCCACGCTGGACTGGTGTTTACTGCCGAAAACCAGCATGTTTGATAATGTTCTGCTGGAGCCTGCTTTCTGGGGCGCAAGCACTCGCGGTGCAGCCATCAGATGTGCCTGCAGTGATGCAGAGAGAGGGAATAGAAACAGAAAGAATTCCACAGTGTGTGTAATGTGCGTATAGTCAAGCTAAGAGCTTTAGGAGGAGATTTTATGTGGCTGGTAAGTTTAATTTAAAAGAGACGGCTGCTGGTTGAGATAATGAATTAGATGTGTATATTTTGTGACTTTTTTTTATCTCACAATTCAGACTTTTTTTCTTGCAATTCTGACTTTTATTTCTCAGAACTAAGCTTACATCTAGCAATTCTGACTTTTTCTCTGAATTCTGAACTTACATCTTGCAATTCAGTTTTTCGCAATGGAATAAAAAGTTAAAAAGCTAATTGTGACTTTGCTGTTGTGAGTTTATATTTCAGTTCTGAATTTTTTCTCAGAATTGCATGTTTGTATCTTGTTTTTCTGAGTTTAAATCTCACAGTTCTTAGAATTGTAATAAAAAAGTCAGAATTTGTGAGGTATAAACTATATATAAAAAATAAGTTTACGAAGTATAAACATTTCTGAATTTTGAGGGAAAAAAGTCACTTTTTTTTATTCTGTCGGTAACAAGCTTCCATAGTAGTGTATGCATGTATGAAGCCACTGTTTGTTTGTTTGTTTGTTTGTTTGTTACTACTGCTTATTTAAAAAACAAAATGATAATCTATAATTTTGTATAGACTAAATAAGACAAATATTTTTATCCTTTGGTTTGCGTCCATCAAATAAAGCCAAACAAATTCTAAATACTTTACAAATGAGTGGTAATTCACTAATTATATCATTAAAAAATATATAAATATAATTATATCATTAAAAAAAATAATTGATTAGATTTTACTGTAAATACAATACAAATGAATAGTATTATATAATAATTATAATTATGTATAATAATCATATTATTGAAGTGTATACCTTACTGGATTTTACTATCTATATATGAAATATTTTACAAATAAATGGTAGTTCATATAATTTTATAATTAAAGAATTTAAGTTATTGGATTGTACTAATTTATTGTATATATTTATAGATAATATAGATATAGATATATATACACACACAATTTCTTATGAAAATAAGTAAATTGTGATGTAAAATTGCTTGCACCATGATAAAAGATTCTGATCACACCGTCTACCCCTAGTGTGTGACATGATTGTTTACTCTGTGCTAAGGCCAAGAGCACAGTCTCCAGCAGAATCATACCACTGCCGGCGCTCTCTCTCACATGCAGATTCACAAATAAACACACGCCACCTGCGCTCCACAACAGCACATTTCTCTGGTCCAGGTGTGGGCCCTGACCATCTGCACCCTGCCTCTAATTACTACACCACCGTGTGGAATCATTTAAGCGGTGTTTATTTGCGTATGCCCACATGCGAGCGGCTTTTGGCTCTGCCACCCTGTGTGTATGTGCTATCTGCTGGGCACACGAGGAGAAGCAGAGTCACTGTCTCTTCCCTGGCAGGCACGCTTCTTTTGCTTTGAGCCAGTAGAACAGGATTTACGAGCACCTGTCACAGAGGTATGTGCCTCCTCTCCTCCCCCACCAGCGCAAATCATCAGGGCCACCCAGTCCCTGCTATCGTTTTAGCACTGTACAGTGTGTGTGTTTGAGATGTTCTGTATACACACCAGATAATAACTGAAAAATTATGGACACCACCATTCTGCATCTGATGTATGTTTAAAACACTGCATATATCTCAGCGGTTATGAGTCCCTGCTGTCCGTGACTGTTTATACAATGGACAAAGTTTAACAACATGTAACATCCACAACATATACAATACAAATCATGCTGAGAATAACACTCTCCACAAGGTGCCAAAACACAATCTTTGGGTCATTATTTGCACAAATATTTTATGTACGTACTTAAAAAAAATCTATTTTACATATTTTTCATAGTTTTTGGCTCTATTTTGCACTTTTTTCCCATTGGATACTTCACTTTAGTCATCATTAAAGTGAGTCTTTTTTTACAAGAAAGCATAATACATGGTTTTATTTTTCCTAAAATTGACAGTATTGTACCTCTACTTTTTCAAGCAGATTGTGTGTGAATTATACAGTGACTTTTAGGGAGCTTGACATTTCAACAGGAATTTTTCAGGTCACACAGTTAACTAAACATCATCTCATATTAAACGTGGAAACATTTTAGTAGTATATTTGTAATATGCAAGTGTTTTTTCCAAGTCATAATGACAGTGTTAATGTTTTGTCAATATTCCATCCAATGATGATCCTAATGAAAAATACTCGGGTTCCTTAGTGACCTGTTGCTATGGTTACTACTTCAGACAAAGACAATTTATGTCTGTGAGTGTTTATTGACCCCATAGATTTTTTAATGTTTTAAAAATAAGTCTCTTATTCTCACCAAGGCTGCATTTATTTCAGTGCACCCAAAAAAGTACACATACTAATATTGCAAAATATGAATACAACTTAAAGTAACTGATTTCTATTTGAACATATTTTAAAATGGCAAAGCTGAATTGTTCATTAGCCATTACTCCAGTCTTCAGTGTCACATGATCCTTCAGAAATCATTCTAATATGCTGATTTGCTGCTCAAGAAACATTTCTTATTATTATAAATGTTGAAAACAGTTGTGCTGCCACATATGTCTTTCTATTTTATTATTTACTTTAAATTAACCATAACTTGTTCTTTATACACTCAATGAACATTTTCCCAAGTCCCATTATTCTGAAAGCTGAAGCATTGTTTAGAAGTTCAGATTATGAATTATCTTAAATGACAAACACTTCATTTATATTTAAAAGAATTGAACAACTACAGGTAACTTGTGAGATCTTGAGATTAGCACTTTTTACACTAATACAGTGAATCATTTAAAATCTCTCCTGACTTCAAGCACTGCAGTGATCCTGCCTAACTGTGTGTTGTTTGCTTCATCTTTCTCTCTGTGTGTGTTTTGAATGCAGCAGAGCTGCAGAGGGAGGGAAGCATCGAGACGCTCAGCAATAGTTCTGGCTCCACCAGTGGCAGCATTCCCCGAAACTTCGAGGGCTACCGGTCCCCTCTCCCCACCAATGAGAGCCAGCCCCTCAGCCTCTACCCCACCGCTTTCCCCTAAAACCAGCCGTCCCGCCCACATCTCAGACCCAAGGAAACCTCTCTGTCGCCTTTGGACAATCTTGACAGTACAACCACAACACATCACCCACGAGAGAGGCCACGCTCTCACCCTGCATCCTGCTCTCCTATATCATTTCTCTCTTCTTTGAAATGTGGATTTTCCTTTAATCAAACTCGGCATGCAGGAAAACAATGTTCAATCAGGCCCGGTGTTAACATCCTTCGTCATTCACTTCCCTTGTAGATTCATTTTAATGTTGCCTCCACCTGAGAGAGAGAGAGAGAGAGAGAGAGGGAGAGAGCGCGCGCGAATATTAACTATGATGGGTCGGACGTACTGTAGAAGGGATCCATTGGAGTTGCCACTTTTCTCAAAGATGTGTCATATTACCAATATCATTATCAATCGAACTTCCAGTACGTATCTTTATTGAACGCATGTGCGTGAGTGAGAGTGTGTCTTCATCAAATACGAGTCCTGATTACCTCTCAGTAGTTGAGTTTAGGTTTGAGCTTAGAGAGCGCTATGCTGATTTTTTTTTTTCTTCCGATCAACACATCATTAGACAAATAGTGTTTGATATATTTTAGTAAACATGTACTATAACATTTGAATTGATTTGACTTTTATAGGTAATCAAACATGGTTATGTTTACCATTTAATCTTGTGTTACATTATAGTGTTCATTATTCCGCACATTTTTTTCTGTATATTAGATTTTTTTTTTTTTTTTCTTCAGTTT